CATGTTGCCAGAGCAGCCAATAGTTATCAACCTGATTAGCTAAACTTGTACCTTCCAGCTCTTTGAAAAGAAACTCTTTCCCAGTTGCAAAGTATAGAACAAAGCCCAAGTGGGGGAAATGTCTCATTGTGCTCTTCCACACAGCTATGGACTGAGAACTTAGTGTTTCATTATTTGCATCCCAACGAAGAGTGGCAGATTTCCCGAGGCAACCTGGGTTGGTCATTCTCTTTTATGCTTTCAGGAACAAATAGGTGCGAGAGAAACAAAACATCTGCGAGAGAATATGGATGGTCAAGTAGCCTCTTCCCTATTCATGCCTCTCAAATCCCAGGCAGGTTCTTGAAGAGCCTGTTGCGGATCCTGATTAATGGCCTTATTGTGCCTTCAGCTGCACCGCTGCTTGTCTCGCCATAAGGAAAACAACAAGTGCAAAGCGTCCACGGCAAAGCCTCGTAAAATAAGATTAACAGGAGCCCAGGGAGGGATGCAGAACAAATGGCGCTGCTGTTCAGGAAAGGAACAAAGAGCAGCTTCATTTCAAAGGTTTCAGCTGCAGCTCACCTTGGCTCAGCTGCCATCGGCAGCATTCTATTTCCTGCAAACAAACTGGATATTAATAAGAAAACTGCACACTTAAAAACCCTTACTTGTTTGCTTGCAGGTGATCATATTCAGCACTGAAAGGAGGGTTTTTAATAACGTTTAAGAAACCAAGCCTCAGACTGGTAATAAGGTATGGACTCACTGATTTCAGTGGGACTCAACAGCAGAATCCTATGCACATCTACTCAGAAGTAAATCCTACAGAGTTCGGTAAGACTTGCTTCCAGGCCGGTGTGTATTCATATGCAGCAGGTGGGGAGGAGAATCCTCTGTCCTCCGTGGACCACTTACCTGTCAATCACCTGACATCACCAAGACTTAAAAGGAAATAATCAGCAGCACATACTCCTGGTTCTTTCCTTTCTTCCTTTGCATCCCTGGCTTGAAATCTTTTGTTGGAAGCCGCCCAGAGTGGCTGGAAAAACCCAGCCAAATGGGTGGGGTATAAATAACAAATTATTATTTTATTTATTTATTTATTTCCCCAGCCTTTTCAGAGTATATGGTAGAAGAGATGTACATGGAATATTATTGTTTGCTGTTCATAATACTGTGGTTGTGAGTCTTTGGACATCAGACGAACAGGAAAAAAGATCATTTTGAACAATACTTACCTGGTCTTCGATGACTGTTGATTAGAATCAAACAGTTGGAAGGGTAAGCCAACCCCCTGCAATGCAGGAATCTCAAGTAATGTATGCATGACAGATGACCATCCAACCTCTGCTTAAAAACCTCCAAGGAAGGAGAGTCCACCACCTTCTGAAGCAGTCCACTGTCAAACAGCTCTTACCGTCATAAAGTTCTTCTGGACGTTTAGTCAGAATCTTCTGTCTTCTGACTTGAATCAAGGAATGTTACGAATTTTTTTATGTGGTGGATCCAGTAATTGTATCTCAAAGTGAACGTTACCTTCTGGAAAAAATGTCTTCGTATGAAATGAAAAATTGTTATTACTATTTAGCATTTCATTCAGGATACCATAATTCAGGTATGCAAGTGTAACTTTTCTTCCTACTCTGTTTCTTTTAAACATGCAAGTGCTTCAGCACAAAACTGAACACCCATGATGGTGTTCAACTTGGAAGGAAGAGCAGTCCTCTCCTCACTGAGGAAGCGACAGCTGTTCCACATATTAGTCGGTGTGCCACTGCCCCCTACTGGAAGAGAGGACTCCTACTTCTTCACACAGCACATAGTCAAACTATGGAACTTGCTCCTCCAGGAGGCAGTGATGGCCACCGACTTGAAAGGCTTTAAGAGGATGGGACAAATTAATGGAGGAGAGGGCTATCAATGGCTACTAGCCGTGGGGGCTGTGCTCTACTTCCACAGCTGGAAGCAGCACTGCTTCCAAATACCAGTTTCTGGAAACCATGGGAGTACAGAATGCTCTTGTGCTCCTGTCTTGCTCACTGGTTTCTCACAAGTATCTGGTTGGCTACTGTGGGAACAGGAGGCTGGACTAGATGGGCCACTGGCCTGATTCAACAGACTATCATTATGTTCTTAACTCCCTAACAGAAGCTTATAAATTTTGGCAAGGCTCCTGTTTTTTGGAAACTCTTCTTGTGAGTAACACTGCTTTTTCTTGGGAGGGGAAGATGACAGTGAGAAGAAAAGGGAGGAGATAAAGAATAACGGCTACCAAGCCTAAATGAGCAAAGAAGATGACCTGTCAGGTTTGGACACAGTGCTTCCTTGTGTTAAGCTACTAGGAACCTTTCTGATCCAATTGTACTCTGTATTTTCCTGTCTGGCTGCAACACTGCTAATTTTGATCTTTGTTCTGCATTCCAACCGCTCAGACTCTGGTTTGAGCTTCTCTTGGGGTATTTACACACTGTGTGGCTGGTGTTGGTAGCTAACCAAAAATGTGTGGTCACAAGGACTCTGCCTCTTATAAGGAATGGGGCCTTGCCCCTGACCTCTCATCAAGCCTCTGACCTCAGAATGCAAGCTCAGAGGCATGGAGAGGGTTGGGAGAATGTTTCTGCAGTCTCTGGGCAATAAGGAATAGCTCTTGCTCTCCTCTTGAGCTTGGAGCTGGGATGGGGGAATCTTCTATGTGGGGCTACCCTCGAAGGTGACCTGGAAGCTACAACTAATCCAGAATGCGGCAGCTAGACTGGTGAGTGGGAGTGACCGCCGAGACCACATAACACCGATCCTGAAAGACCTACATTGGCTCCCAGGACGTTTCCGAGCACAATTCAAAGTGTTGGTGCTGACCTTTAGAGCCCTAAACAGCCTCGGCCCAGTATACCCGAAGGAGCGTCTCCACCCCCATTGTTCTGCCCGGACACTGAGGTCCAGCACCGAGGGCCTTCTGGCAGTTCCCTCACTGCGAGAAGCCAAGTTACAGGGAACCAGGCAGAGAGCCTTCTTGGTAGTGGCGCCTGCCCTGTGGAACACCATCCCATCAGATGTCAAAGAGATAAACAACTACTTGACATTTAGAAGACATCTGAAGGCAGCCTTATTTAGGGAAGTTTTTAATGTTTGATGTTTTATCGTGTTTTTAATATTCTGTTGGGAGCTGCCCAGAGTGGCTGGGGAGACCTGGCCAGATGGGCGGGGTATAAGTAATAAATTATTATTATTATTATTATTATTATTATTATTATTAATTGTAGTCAGTAGAGGCTGTATAGTTAGCTCAGTGGAAGGGCATCTGCTTTCCACACAGAAGGATCAAGCCCCAGCATCTCAAGGTAGGGTTGGAAGTGACTCAGTTTCTGAAATCTTGGAGAACAGTGCCCACAGCCAGTGTAGACAGTACTAAGCTGGACAGAGCAAAGGTCTGACTCAGTATGAGGCAGCTTCCTTTTCCTGTATTCATGGTGCCTTGGGAGTGCTCCAAGTTCCTCAGCAACATAGTGTAAAAATGGCAACCTCATTTCTCCTCTCAAGCTTGGAATCAAGGACACACACACACCATAGAGCACAGAACTCCTGGAACAATCCATCATGGGCCCCAGCTGCAGAGCCCTTACATTCCTTCAGAAGCCCATCTTAACCACTGGGAGGACATCCTGCCCCTCCCCATAATTTTTTTTTAAAAAATATCTCAGTACATTCCTGCTCAACGCCTTTAATCCCGAGCATACATATTCATCTCAAGGTCATCTCGTTTCCCTCAGCACTCTGTGCTCCTGCATACACCTGGAATTTTCTCCCTGTCAGATATCTGTCCCAGACCTACTTCATTAAAGCTGTCTTGAGGACTTCTGTGAACTGACCAGAGCCAGCTGCAGCCTGACCTGCACACCAGCAGCCCTACATAAAGAATTTGGGAGCGTCTGCTGCAGGCCTAACTCTGCACATCGCCTTCTTCCTCTTGCTCCTCCTTCAACATTTGCTAAGTTTTGGATTTGGTGCCACAGCTTGCTTCTTCCATGAGCTACTGTAGCCGCTATATATTATCTTCACAAATTATGGAGTCTGTTTACGCATAAAGGCAATTCACTATTTCCTAAGCGAGACAGCTGAAACACTGAACCTGAGCACTCCCTGTGGCAACATTTTGTCGCCAGTTCCAGATGTGTTGTATAAAACCAATTACAGAGTGGCAGATTAATAGAGGTTCTCCAGTGTGATGTAACTGGGATCTTAGCAGCTGTCACCAAGTTAAACACCAGTCCTAAATCAACACCTCCATATGAATTGCTCAGGGGGAGAAAAACAGGAAAAAAATACTCTCAGATCTTATAAAATGGGGATGGGGGACCATTTCCAGCAGAATGGCCAAGTTCCGCTTTCGGCAAACTTCCAGGGGCCATGTGGCAGTGGAGGGCGGGGCCAGAGGCAAAAGTAGGCAGGGAAACAAAATGTGAATCTTACCTTTGAAAAGTAGGCAAGTTTCCACACCCTTGCACACCCCTCTCTAGCCTCCATCCCGACAAGCAAGAAACAATGATGTATTCCAGCCAGGCAAAAACACTCAGGGAGGGCAGTTCAGGGTCTTATCTGGGGAGATGGTGTGATGCCTGGGTTGGAGAGCCAAATTTGACCCTCAGCTCTCGAGTTGCCCATTCCTGTTATAAACCATACTTGGTTCTAGATTTCTTTATTGCATTTATATCCCACCTTTTCCTCCAAGGATCTCAAGGTGGCACACACTCTTCTCCCACTCTTGATTTTCCCCCACAACAACCCTGTGAGGTAGGTTAGGCTACGAGAGGCAGTGATGGGCCCATGATCACCCAGTGAGCTTCATGGCTGAGTAGGGATTTGAACCCTGGTCTCCCAGGTCCTAGTCTGGCATGTTAACCACTATGCTACACTGGATGAGATGCCGAAACTATCGAACTTCCCTTCCAGAAAACAGTAAGCAGAGAACTATCTAAGTTCCCTTCCAGAAAAAGTAGGCAGAGAACATTCCCAGACCTACATGGAGATTCCAGGGATTGAACCTTCTGGGACCTTCTGCCTGAAAAGCAAGAGTTCCACCACTGAGCTAAAGACCTTCCCCACCTCTCACTTACCACGTCCTTCCTTGAATGTGTCCCTCCCTGCTTCACAATGTTATAGCTAAACTCAGTGCAATGTAGTTTACATTACTTTAAGAGTCTCTCTCCCCAGATCACAAGCTACTTGGACTTACTCTAGCTTCCACAAGCATTCCTGAATCCCCAGTTTCTTTAATGAGTTTGATCAGGAGTCCCAAGTTTCACAACACTGAAAACTAGGAGTCAAAATCTCATTGCTCAGAAGCCATGTTTTGTTTTGGGTTATTGTTTATTTTATTTTAATTTTTTTAAAAAAAACTGCTTTATAACCATCAATTACAGCCAGGCTACACGTTGCAGAAACTGTGTGGTTAGCAACTGTGTGGTCTGCTGTTCTTTTTTTTAAATATAAAACTAGGTGCAAGGGCCCCTGGTTTTCAGCACTGCCTGGGAATGGGAGGTTTAACCTTTGTCTCCCCCGTCACAATCCCAATGGATATCCCTTACTCCTGGCAGGGGTTGTAATTCTCATTGGGATGGTGGCTGGGCAGGGAAGGGATAAACCTCTGCCAAACAGGAGTGTGGAACTTTAAACAGAGCCCTATGGTTCTAGAGGAGGAGGATTTGCCAAGAGGTCATTACCATTGTACTATATATACACACACACGTGTGTGTGTGTGTGTGTGTGTGTGTGTGTGTGTGTGTATGCATGCAGAGGTATTATGCTTTTGAAGAAACCCTTCCAAGTGAAAACCTAGCATGACCAAACCAATAAAATATGCCTAAGCTTGCACACAGCCTACAGCGATCACGGTGGAGTCGTAATGAAGCAACTCGTACGTCACGGACGAGCACTTAATTAACCCACTTAATGTGCTTCCCTTGCAAACTCCAACTGCCCCAACACTTTAACAAGCTTCCAAATGCTAGTTCTTTGCCGTCAGGCCATGGAGGTGTTGAGCCCTCCTCCCTTGGCACACAAAGCGCAGTCTATCCAACGGATGCCACGCTACAGCTCAGTGCCGCACAGCGGGCAGAGCGATGCTTTATAGTTGAGCAAAGCTCGCCTAAACATGCTGGGTTTGCATGCGGGATGGTATCCTTGTAGGGGAACCACCACCTCAGAATGCAGCTACAGGCCACTCTCTCCTTACGGCTTCTTCTTCCCACACTGCTCTGCTAGCAGGTTCGATCTAAAGCATAGCCTAAGGCAGCCTTCCCAACCTGGTGCCCTCCAGCAGTTGCTGGACTACAACTCCCATCATGCCTAACCATTAGCCATGCTGTCTGGGGCTGGTGGCTGCTGTAGTTCAATGTACCTGGAAGCCACTAGGGTTGGAGAAGGCTGTCCTAATGGCTCCTGGTGCAGCTTGTGGTTAAAGCTAAGAAGTGCCCAAGGTTCAGGGGCGGCCTGGTTACTCCCTCTGAGTTTCTTCTAGGTAAAAAAAAAAGGGGGGGAATAGAAATGTAATTAATAATGTGCATGAAGGGAAGACATTGCTGGGGTGATGCAGAATGCACCTGGGAGAGTATTTGACTGACAATGCTCCGATATCAAAAGTGATCTGTACATGGAGAGCTAACTCATCAGAAGTGCTTTTTTCTGGAAAAAGGGTGGGGGAACTCACCACAAAGTTAGTTTTTTTCATTCTTTGTTCATTTATTACCCCCCACCCCGGGCAATGGCTACATGTAAGATGTGAATAATAAACTCAAGCAGTTAAGAAATAAGGATAAGAAATGGCCACAACTTTATTGATTACAGATATAGGTGGATTTTTGGATCAGGCATTGGGTGTATATCGTTCCAGCCCTCAAAGACAAAATTATTATTATTGTTATTATTTTAAAGGTAAGGGAACTCAGCTCCCTTAAGTTCCTGCTCAACCCCCCCCTAAAAAAAACACACCCTGCCCACCAGGAAGATAGACTGCAGCCTAGCCATTCCTTAGGCTTGCAAGTGTGCCAGGAAAGCTGCATAGTCCCTACAAAGAGGTCTGTACACAATGTGAGAAATGAAAAAAAAATAACAGGGTAAACCACAGGTCGCCCCCCCCCCCATCATTTCGGAAATGTGTTCATCTGTCCTAAGGCAAATGTGAACTTTGGGAGGGGGAGGGGAACACGCACATACATTTCATTTCATCCACGCACATACATTTCATCCTTCTTCCGTTTAGGGCAGTTTTATAGGTGCCCACAAATCAAGCAGGAACCATGGACACTGACAACACTCTCCAAGGTGGCAGCCATTCAAACTCTGTGTATTCCGATCTGTGCGTCTACCAGGAATTTCTCGAGTTGAAATTAGTAAGAGTAGTGAAAGAAGTGCACAGATGCTCACTTGCACAGCTCCCCATTCATTTCAATGGAACTAGGAGAAAGTTCCCTGTGACTGCATGCTTTGTGGCTTTTAATGATGCAAAAACTTAAGGTACTTTAAATGTCATGGGATTTATCATCATCATCATCATTTTGATATGTTCTCCTTTACGGGAAAAGCAATGTTTTTATTATTATATGACACAATTATTTTTTTTTTTAAAAAAGAACACCCACATGCCCATTTTATTTGGTACTCCAAATCTAAGCTTACAGCCCAACGTTTACTTGGGAAGTAAGTCCTACTATGCTCTCTGTGGGGCTGAGTTTCCTCTTAGTCTGCCTAGCAGGACTGCAGCCTTATAGCCTAATTCTTCTCTTCTTCAAGCCCTGGCAGCAAGGAAGGATTTTAATAACACTTAGCAAGTTTTACTGTTCGCTTGTGCATTTTAATCTGCAAAGTGCTTTGGCACCCATGAACTCCTTTTAATTACAGGGCTGGGGACTTTACTGAAACGGAAGAAATGTGGTCTCATTTTGGCCTTTTGCTTTGAAGTTTTGTTTCCCACCTTCTTTCTTTTGGAGGCTGTAGGATGTCAGGATAGCAGCATTTCCATCTCTCCTTCCCCCAACCCCAACATCTGGCAAGCCATTTGATCCAATTGCTTAGGTGGGCGCCTTTCTGTTTTCCAGGGAGGAGAGTGAATTTGCCTGAAAGGGGTAAAATCAATAAGAGGGAGATAGTCTTGGATCAAACAGTACAGCTGCTCAGACAGACACAGAGAAAAGCGTGTGAGTGTGAGGGGGGGGGGGAGGAGAGAACCACGTGATAGGAAAGGAAAAAGGCGGCAGCAAAGGAAGGGCAGTGTCAGACTCGCAGCCAGAGCCGATTGTGACACACACACAGAGGCGCTGCTGGAAGCAGGAACAGAAGCAGCAAGCAGGAGGAGCTGCAACTCTGGAAGTTGGCAGTTTCCCGGGACTCCCGGGCTGAGCGTACGCGCCGTGTGTGTCTGAGGAAGAGAGAAAGAGTGACGGGAAAGGGAAAGATTGCAAAGCTTCAAAGGAGGCGAGCCTGTGTCTTAACGCGGCCAGCGGAGGACTTGGATCATGGAGAGCCCCAAAGTGGAATCCATTTAGCCAAGAGGAGGAGGAGGAGGAGACGGCGTCGGGCAGGGAGAGAAGAGCCGAGAGTCTGGAGCCATGGCTCGGCTGGGCTCGCGGGCCGTCCAACTTGGCCCGCCGCGGTTCCCTTGAGCGTTTCTATGGGGGATCCCCCGCTGGGCGGGAGTAGCCGCGGGCCCCAGCAGCTCCAAGCCCCCAGCGCAGGCGCGCCCTGATGGAGCCGGAGGGAAGGAAGATCTCGGTGTGGATCTGCCAGGAGGAGAAGCTGATCTCGGGGCTTTCCAAGCGCACCACTTGCTCGGATGTGGTGCGGGTGCTACTGGAGGACAGCAAGCAGAGCCGACGACGGAGGCAGCAGCAGCAGCAGCTGGCGTCGCTGCCGGAGTGCGGCGGGGGGATGCTGTCGGGGGTCCCGCAGTCTTACTGCATCGTGGAGAAGTGGCGCGGCTTCGAGCGGATCCTGCCCAACAAGACCAAGATCCTGCGGCTCTGGGCCGCCTGGGGGGACGAGCAGGAGAACGTGCGCTTCGTGCTGGTGCGCAGCGAGGCGTCGCTGCCCAACACGGGCCCGCGCAGCGCCGAGGCCCGCGTGGTGCCCAGCAAGGAGAGCCCCTGCCAGCATGGCTTGGCCACGGCGGCGGCGCGGGCCAGCCTGGCGCTGACCCAGGAGCGGCAGCGGCGCGTGGTGCGCAAGGCCTTCCGCAAGCTGGCCAAGATCAACAAGCGCAAGGGGCAGCCGTCGGGGCAGCCCGACGAGCCGCCGGCCAAGGAGGCGCCGGCCGCCGAGAGGATGGAGACGCTGGTGCACCTCGTGCTGTCGCAGGACCACACCATCCGCCAGCAGGTGAAGCGCCTCCGCGAGCTGGATCGCGAGATCGACCGCTTCGAGGCCAAGATCCACTTCGACCGCATGAAGCGCCACGGCGTCAATTACGTGCAGGACACTTACCTGGTGGGCGGCGGCGGCGGCGACACGGAGGTCCCCGAGGGCGGGGAGGAAAAGGAAGGGGAAGCGCAGGGGGGACTGGAGGCGGCGACCCTCGACGGCGACCTGGAGGAGTACGCGCGGAAGTGCGAGGAGGTGGCGCTGCTGCAGGAACAGTGGCGCCGCCAGGAGGATCTGCTGGAGCACTTGGCCGGCGAGATCCAGGAGGAGCTGAACGAGCGCTGGATGAAGCGGCGGCGGGAGGAGCTGGCGGCCGCCAAGGGCTCCAGCGCCAGCCTCTCCGAGACGGACTGCAACACCACCGAGCTGGTGGGCGGCGGCGGGGAGCTGCACGTCGAGCAGGAGCGCGTCAAGACGCAGCTGAGCACCAGCCTCTACATCGGGCTGCGCCTCAGCACCGACCTGGAGGCCGTCAAGGCCGACCTGGACTCGACGCAGCGCGCCTGGGCCGACAAGGAGAGCGAGCTGCAGCGCCTCCTCGACACCATCCGCTCCCTCGACGTCCAGGAGGAGGCGGGCGGCCAGCTGGAGCAGGAGGCGGCCCCGTCTCTCCAGCTCCCCGTCGAGGACGACGACGGCGGGGGCCAGCTTCCCCCCGACCCGGCCCCGATCACCGCGGAGGTGTGGGGGGAGCAGGCTGCGCGCGGCTTGCGCAAAGACTGCGACGACAACGACGAGGATTCCGACACGGGCTTGAGCTCCATGCACAGCCAGGACTCGGACTCGCTGCCCGTTTGCGAATCCCTGGTATAGCGGCGGCCTCCCCACTCCCCCCACATGTCATCTCAGGGACCGCAGAGTTGGGCTTTCCCTCGGGTTTTTACTATTATTATTATTGTTTGTTTGTTTTGTCTTTTGCAAGATGCTCAGACGGGGAGTTCCTGGATCTCTCCGCTCACCCCGCCCCCAACAAAGATCTATTTTTCAAAACGACTCAACGAGGCACATGCTTTCATTCTGATAAAATATAATAATAAAATTCATGTTTGTAGTTAATTTGTGGTCACCGGGAATCATAACATAGATTTGTGCACCTAAAAACATCGGCTTCTCTTTTTTTCTGAATTAAAAAGGATCTCACCCTATAGGTATTGGTTTTTCAAACAAAAAGTTCGAAGGAAAGACATCAGCTGCGTTTTGATGCCCACTAACTGCAGAGGATGTGCTGGGTTCTCTGAAGGAATGGGGAAAGGGAGATTATATTGTATCATAGCCGTTTGATTGCATCTTAATTGTGGCTTTGACATTGAAACGTGTTAAAGCGAGTCCCTGGCAGGCAGATTTCAGGCTGACTCCTTCCTACTTTTATCTTTTAAAGAAGAAGCAAGAGAGGGGTATTTGCATTTCATTTAATATTGGAATAACCTGTTTCCTTCAGATTCATACCTTTTTATTTCACATCAAAGATTGTTGAATAGGAAGTTCTACTCCTTCAGTTCTGCAATGTAAACATGGGACAGTGTGCATTTCTTTATAGAATTCATTTGATTTATGTTTTCCAGTTGAAACAGAACACTTAGCACCTTGATCTTTTTTTCCTCTCTTCAAAGGCAGCTGTGTAACTTGCCATGAAATAATTAGTTTGCTCCTTTGATGATTAATAATAATAAGGATGGACACAGCAGCAACACTGGGTGATTAATAACTCACAAGTATGTATTCTGTAGAGTGTTTTGGAATAGATTCCAGTTGATGTCCTGATGCCCTTAACAGCAATTGATATCATTTGCATGTGTACATGGGGTCATGCGGGTGTGGGGGTGGGTAATTTAAATGCTAATAATGAACCACTGAAGGCAAACGAAACTAAACCACACCACAAAAAAATGTAGCATCTGTTTCTCTCAGAAATGGATGATGGATGCAGAAGACCTAACATAATTTGTTCAAAACCAACAGAAGACTTTTGGAAACACCAATATGTCTAGCAAGCCCATTTCCCCATAAGCAACCCCCAAACAATAGCAGAATAATTGTATATTTTAAATAAAATTGACTTAAATTAGGTCTTAGCCTAAGCCAAAGTAATCCATCAGTGCTGATTAAGTCAATGCTGCATAAGAACCTTCCCATCACACATGCCAGTGCCTTAATTGAGCTATTGCCCTGCTGCCTTGAATAACATTTCAGTAACAATGGAACAATATCTTGCTACTCCTTCTGTAATATCCACAACTGAGCAATGCTACTTCACATTTATTTCATCCTTTAAAACACCCTTCATCCTCTTTCAATTTCAAGGCACTTATATCGTAAATGCAAATCAACCACAATGAAATTAATCTTTAAAAAACATTCAGCACCCTCCCCCCATCAAGACTAAGCCTTAACCAGTTAAAATGCCCAGGAGAGCTTAAATGTTTTAGCCAAAAAGAATAGAGATTGCAGTGTAAATGCGAGGTGCACCTCTTTTGGGATGATGTTCCATATCATGGTGCCATATCTTTAAAAAAAAAAAAAGCCCTCTTATATGTAACCGAACAGTATAACTCTGAAAAAGATGGTACTCGGAGAAGAGTCTTAGTAGAAGATCTGAAAGCCCTGGCAGGTTCCTAAAGAAAAAGACTCTACCTCAGATATTTGGACCCCCTAACCATTTCAGGCTTTAAAGGTAAGTACCAACACTCTGAATTGGACCGAAATGTAACTTGTCCTTTAAGACAGTCAGCTGCTCTTCAGTACCAATCGAAATTTCTGAGTCATCTTCTGGGGCAGCCCCATTTATAATGCATTATGGTTGTCCAACTGGGTAAACCAGTTAGGGATGTACTCTTGGTTTAAGAGTCTGAAAAGGGGGAATGGAAACCCTTCAAATAATTTTTCAAAGTTTCAGAATTGGGGAACCAACGGTGCCAATTCCATTGGTGTCAAAGGATGTTTTCCACCTGTGGCGAAGTGCAGCTTGCTTGGGAGTGACTGGTTGGGAACAGGGAGGAGAAGGAAAGAGCAGACCTGATTGGGCCTCTGTGGTTGCTATTTAAAACCAGATACCCTTTGCAGACTGGCACTATTGGGAAGTCATGGCATGCAGGTGCAAAGTTGCTAACCTCACTGTTGGCCTCACAGACTGTGACCATGACCCAAAGACCAACTTCAGGCATGCATGCCCATCAACTTTGCCCTCTTCTAACCCTATTATATGCAGCATTTGGAATTCCACACAGTTTCAAAAGACCTTTGAGTAGCTACTTTTTGATAAATGTAAGTTCAAAGCACCTTTGGTCCTATGGAGCCAGGTCGACGTCCAGTAAGTGTCTTGTCACATTTGTGCAACCGTGTTCCACCTACCAATTTTGCAACAAATGTGCTGTCTGGAAAGTAAATGAGATATCCCTGAGATTGGAAACCTTCAAGTATTCCTTTCTCAATATCATTAACATTACATGGAGGAAGATATTGGGACAAGCCTTTCTCCTCTCATCCCTGCCGTCACCCCACTGTTGCCAGTGGCAGACCTGGGTAGTATGGCACCCTATGTGAGACCAAAATTTGGCGCACCCCCCCCCCCCAGCCCTTACACTGCCTTCCAAAAGGCCAGTAAGGAGGCATCAGCTTTGAAAAGGAGGTGTGAGGGCTCTAGCAGGGTCATAGAGCCCTCCTACCTCCTTTTCAAAGCTTTGAAAGCGCTAACTGGGTTTTAGGAAGGAGGACTTTAGGACCCTGTCAGAGCCTCACACTTCCTTCCCAAAGCCCAGCATCTTTGAGACAACGCCCCCTTGGCTCAGCCCCCAGTGCATGTGCACCACTCTCACAGTCCTAAATCTCTCCCTGCCATGGCCCTCCACAAGTTGAGGAGGACTGCAGCTGGGGTCTGCTCCAAACCAGTAAGGTAGGCTGCACACTGCAGACAACCAGTGGAGAGCAATGGAGGGGGTGGGAGTGACCACGCCCCCACTTTGTCTTGCATGGAGTGTTAACTTTCTTGGAGGAAGGAACAGCCAAAGAAGTGTTTGGTGCTCCCTCAAACGAATATTAGTAGGTGGGAGCTATAAGGTGGCGGGGAAGTGTGTTCATTATTTAGCTCAAACAAATATGGGCCAAAAAAGGGAGAAAGAAACATGGCTTGCAGTGTCTTTTTGACATTTAGTTCAAAACAGGAGCACAGACCAGAAGCAATTAATATGGTGACCATTAGAAGGAGCATATCTGTCAGTTGTAGCTCCTCTCGGTTTCTTATTTTCCACCCTTTAATTCTAGTTATCCACATTTCAGCATCCATTTGCATAAAAGCTCATCAGCATCTTAATGTGAATATCTCCTTATATGCATTTTATATCCAATTTTGCCTGATATATACATATTTGCAAAGCAAAATATTCCCTTAATATAATGTATTTTTGAATGCTATTTTCACACACACATGCGTTTTTATGCACACTTTACCCTAGTTGTAAACTGCTTTGAGGTTTTTTTTTTACAATCAAGTGATGTATAATTTTTATGAAATAAATGAATAAAATAAAGAATAGTATATGTATTTTTGAATACATTGGTTGGCTTGAGAACTGCATTGCAAAAGTCAGACAATTGCGAATTTTGAAGGATGGCATCTTTAATTGTGAACTGAATTGATTTGCTTGCCCATCTCCAGCTGACAAAGAGGACATTTAAGAACGCAGCTGAATGCAGCATTTTCAGCTGTTTCGGTAACACTTTTTGTATTATCTGTATCTGGTGTTTTCAGCTAAATAGTCATCCTCTGCTGCTGAACATTTCCTAAAAGGATAGTCTGTATTTACCATACTGATGTTTATGTAGTAAACCATAATTAGACACTTTAAAACATATCATTCCTTTGTATCAGTATCAGTATCAAACTTTATTTCAGTCATAGACCAGCATAATTCCTTTCTATAAATTGGTAGGTATCCACAGATATCAGTAACATCTATGTTCAAGGGTAAAAACTAAGGATTTCATCCTTTACAACAGTAGAAATATAACTGAACTCCAGGTACAATTGGGCAGCTTTCAACTAACAAATTTCAAGGCAAGCTATTAATAACACATTGAATATTGTTTTTATCCATTTGCAGTTTTGCAAAATATTTACTTACTATATTATTAAGAAAAGCAATGAAATTACAGGGGGAAATGGTGTCTTTAGAATGCTAAAATTCTGATTTGAACAGCACAATCCTATGCAATGGGGCTTACTCCCACGTAGGACTTCTGAGCTATACAGTACATACCTTCTTAAGAGTTAGTCCGATTGATGTCTGTGTGATTTATATCTCCAAGTAAATATTAACAAGATCGGCCTGCAAGATTGCAAATTGTGAACTTGGTTACTAGGAAGTTGGTTTCAATGAAACTTACTTCTGAATAAACATGGTTAGTATTGGGCCATTCATTACTTAGCGAAGGAAGGAAGGAAATAAAAGATCAAAAGCCCTCTCACTTGCTTTGGCTGGTAGCGTATCAGATTCAGTTTACACAGCTGACTACGCAAAAGAGGAGAACAGCAGAGAAGCATGTCAGTTGTATCTGGGGAAATAGCACATGTGAATTTAGCTTCAAGAATATGACACGGAATGCACAGAGTTGAAGAATGTCATAGGGAGACCTATGCAGTGGCAATTCTGTTTGTAGCAGGCACAGTGCTGGAATCACTCTAGAGTTGAAATCCTGCTGTTCCTCGGTAGCCCTGGGCAAATCGTGAGCCATTCCCTGCAGTTGAGGCATGAGGCATGTCAAGGTGAGCTCATGGCATATGGCCAATCAAAGACTGAACCAAACTAACATGGTCATGGAAGGCATTGTGGAATATATGATGAGTGTTGGGAATCAAGCCTGTATCAGGAGAAACTGGCCACTCTCCAGGCACCTGGCTTGATCTCCTCATAAATAATTAAGGTCAAAGGAGAGAAGTACTCACTTGACCAGATTAGGCCCACAGCCTTTACGGAACCGTGTGTGTGTGTGTGTTTAAAAAAGTGCTTATGGAGAACTCAGTTGGAGGGTGGAGGCCATTTTGGTTTGTTGCATGCTTATAACTATTTATAAACATAATGGGCAGGTAAGGAAAGCGGTTGTGGATAGCGTCTATTTTTCACCAAGCTTTCGTAAACTCTCCTCTTGGCTGCACTACCAAGCACATAAAAAACCCACATGACAGAAACAAGAATCAGCTACCACAGAATGTGCCATACTGTGCTGTTGATACACATCTTTGGTGTATTGTGAAATGTGAGACAAAATGTACCAATGCTAAGGAACTAAAAGTTGGGAAGCCAGAAGCTCGGATTGCATGTGAAAGCACTTGAGTAGCCGTGGCTCTGTCTGCAGGTACAAAACGTCTGTATTTGAGACAGGGTAGCCTTTTGCATTGTATTATGGCATAGCCCGCACTTGAAATAGGAGAGGAGAGCAGTATGTCAAGAAATAATCTGAGCGGTAACGCAGGTTTGAAGTTTCAATTGTTTCCGTTTCACTTAGCTGCTGTGCCTGTATGCTGCATTTATTATCTCCTCTCCCCCACACTCCAATAGCCATTTCCATTTGCTTGAGAAGTGTAATCCCTTATGTAAGTGTCATTGTGCTTATTTCAGCACACAGAGCTTAACTTTATTCACAGTAGGTTTTGCCAGATGTCTGCTGCCCTAAACCCTGACTCAGATCTTTAGGCAATTTGGAGATGGATAAGCATACAGAACTGAAGGGAGGCTGGGAGGGAACAATCTGAGGGGGGTCTTTTTGTTTGTTTTTTGTCCCTGGATAATTCCGGACTATTGTGGTATTTATGTTTCCTTAAACAGTGGTTTCCAAACAATCTGAATATCCTTTTCATATTACCCTATCTACTGAGTAACTTGTGAGCCATTTCAGGGAACCCTTTCATGCTGAAGAGCTGTCACATGGAAGATGGAGCAAGTTTGCTTTCTGCTGCTCCAGAGGGTAAGGCCTGGACCAGTGGAGTCAAATCGCAGTAAAGAAGATTCAGATTAAACATTAGGAAGAGCTTTCTGGTGGTTAAATCTGACAGTGGAATGGAGTACCTTGGAAGATGGAGACTCTCCTTTATTTGAAGTTTCCCAGCAGAAATTGGATGGTCATCTGTCAGGGAATCTATAGCTGTTATTCCTGCATTGCAGGGACTTGGGCTAGTTGACCCTTTGGGTCCCTTCCACCTCTAATAATAATAATAATAATAATATTTTATTTATATCCCACCCTCCCCAGCCGAAGCCGGGCTCAGGGCGGCCAACAACAATAAAATAATACAACTGAAAAAAATATGATGGAAAAACAGGATCCTGTCTTTCTGCTTATTCTTTCTATGGTTCTAAAGCAAGCTTGGGGAACCAGTTGCTGGACTACAACTTCCATCATCCCTGAGCATCGGCCATGCTGGCTGAGGATGATGGAAGTCAGAGTACAGCAACAACTAGAAGACCTCATTCATACTGTAGAAGATTCTGAAGCCTATTCTAGAGGACGCACTGCATACCTGTTGCAGCTGATCAAGCACTTTCATGCAGCTCTGGATGGAAAGGAAAGACAGCACCCTGGGCAGATGTCCCTCTTGCCCAGTTGGCAGTCTAAGCCTAATTCTAGGGGTCTGACTCGCGCATCTGGCATTTTAAAGCCACACTTTATATGCAGGCATACTTGTCTCACAATGCTATAAAAAGGAGGTAGGAAAGATCAAAGAGCTTTTTGTGCTAGACCATGATTATTACCTTTCCCAGCTTCTTGTCTCATTTATTCTTCCTTTATTAGGTACCAAAGCCAAGCTAAAAAGGAGTGGAAGGTTTCACTTGAGGACAGAAGTTGGCAAAGTGTTGTTCTGTCCCAGATTAACTGAGTGCCACACTGAAAAAATATGATGGAAAAACAGGATCCTGTCTTTCTGCTTATTCTTTCGCTGCTTGTTAACACATGAAAAAATAGACCAAAGCTGTGGAAAAGGAACAAAATGAACCTTGTTGCCTTAGACTTATGCATATTGATGGAGAACATGCACTGATCTAGCTGCTTTCAACACAGAAAACTCAAGTTTCAGAATCCTGGCATCTCAGTAAGTCCTATAAGTATTCTATGTGATTTCTAATTTCTCATGCTCTATTAAACTGCAATGCAAACACTGCAGGCAAGAGAAGCAGCTGTAGGTAACACACAATGTGTAAAATCAAACCTATCAGTTCTTAAGAAATTCAGTCCTGAGTGCTCACTGGAAGGACAGATCCTGATGTTGAGGCTCCAATACTTTGGCCACCTCATGAGAAGAGAAGACTCCCTGGAAAAGACCCTGATGTTGGGAAAGACGGAGGGCACAAGGAGAAGGGGATGACAGAGGATGAGATGGTTGGACCGTGTTCTCAAAGCTACCAAAAGGAGTTTGACCAAACTGCGGGAGGCAGTGGAAGACAGAAGTGCCTGAAGTGCTCTGGTCCATGGGGTCACGAAGAGTTGGACACGACTAAACAACAACACACGTGAGATCAGGTCAATGTTTTAGTCAGCATCCTCCTTAAAATGGTTCTGTATTCCAAACCTGTGGGACAGGAAATGTGTGATGATGCATCAATAACTCTATGACTACTCTAGTTTAATTTTAAAAGAGGAAGAAAATGTTCTTCTGGCTTTAGAAGAACAAGTGGAGACAAAACAGAATTTATACATGGGAGTCCCATTGAGAAATACCTTTTGAACCAAGCTCTACATTTTTTAAAAATTAATTTTGAAGATATATTAGGATTTGATAGAAGTTGCTGCTTTGTTGAATTTACGACAAAGCTTATTTACAAGCTTATACAATGCTTGAACATGAGTGAGGTGCTTTGGTTTTTTTATTGATAACATCCACCTCATTCAAAAAACACATCTTCACCTACAAAACTTGCTCATTTATTATTATTTTTTATTACATATATATCCCACCTTTCCTCCAAGGTGCTCAAGTGGCATACATGGTTTTGTTCCTCCCCGTTTTGCCCTCACAACAATCCTGCGAGGCAGTCAGCCTGTGATGGGCCCAAGGTCACCCAGTGAGTTTCATGGCTGAGCAGGGATTTGAACCCTAATACAACACACTAACCACTACACCAGACTGGTTCGTGGCGATGCATGCCAAACATAATAATGCTGATAGCACAGGTAGATAAAGGTGACAGATGCTGCATTTCTTGGGCTACTCACTGAAACCCATTTGGGCCTTCCATTTGGACTAGGTGGGCGTGGCCTGGCTGAAATGGCCTCGCAGGCCATACGAGGAGGCCAGGTTTAGACCCACAGGATGGAGGCTCCCCACTGCAACAAGGCTCTTTGCTGGCCAGCAATCTTGGGACTGAATTAAACTACTCAGTTTAATTAGCAGAAGCCCGTTGCAAGGACTCTTGTCAGTACAACAGGGCTTCCTTGCCTCTCCTAATCCCATGCCTATTTGCAAATCTGCTGTGGGGGGGTTGGAGCAACCATCAGAATGGGGTGGGGGGGACTAT